GACTTTTAATACTGTATTTTTATTTTTTATCTCTATTTTTAAAAAATTAAATGGTTCTTGTCTGTTGTGAGCTGCCCAGAGTCCCTATGGGAGTGGGTGGCATACAAATTCTAATAAACCTGAAACTTGAAAAAAAACTTGAAATTTGTACTTGTAGTTCTGATGAGATTTGCAGGACTATCCTAAGAACAAATTGCATCCAGGAAAGAAATGTTTCTTTTGAGTCAAAGTCAACTGCTGATGCTTCTTGCTCCATGGACAGATCCATGCAGTTATTTTGGCAACAATGCAGTATGGTGCCGTATTGCCCTTTTTTCTTCCTATTTTCCTATTTCTTATAGTCTGAACTACAGCCCTGGGCTTTCACCAATCCAAGTAATAGCCAGACCCAACTCTAAGTTTAGCTTTTTGAGATCAGCCAATAGTCAGATGCCATGGAGTTGGGTTCGGCAGCTGGAATTGCACTCAAAATATGTAAACTTTTGCAAGGGGTTCAGGGTGAGCTAAGTTGATGTCAAGTAGATAACTAAACAAAAAAGTGTTTTTGCTTAATTGGTATTCATGGTACCTGTTTTTTTCCCCTTTTGATCTCCAGCATAAGAGGTGCATTCCCGCTTCTCTCGATGCTTACTACTCAGCTCAGGATTCCAACTCCCGGGGCAGATTCTACACTGTCATCAGCCACTACAGCATGGCTAAGCAAACCAGCTCGCGGTCTGTATCTCCATGGCTTTCTTCAGGATCGGTAAATCATGAAAATAAGGCCACTAAGACAGAAGGCCATTAAAGCCATGTGATGGCCTGGGGATGGAGGGAGTGGGAAAACCACATCATGTCTCTAAATCATTGCCCTAGTTCACAGAGGGCGCCTTGCTAATCAGTGTGATGAGAATACACTAACTCCAAGTGCAGGTGTCATCTTAATGGATAGTTTTCTCTCTTTCATTCATTCTCACCCTCCCCTTTAGTGCATTGTTCTCGTTAATTTGTAACTAAGTCAGGATCTTGTACAAAGGCATGTTAGGTGTTGACTATATCTCACAATGTACAAATATTTTTAAAACCATTGCTAAGTATTTGTTAAGAAAATAAAAATGAAACAAAAAAAGTAAACCCAGAAAACATTGACAAGAAGGTAAAAGAAATAGTAAACATAATTTATTAGGCCTTTCTTGGCTGAGAAAACAGCCTTGAAACTTGGCAAACAAAGGTGGGGAATTTGTTTATCACAATGTAACATGAAAGGAAAGTTCAGATCAATGGAGGAACTTTATAGTGCACAACCATCATATACAAATAAAATACACAATTGTCTGGGCAAAAATCCATCTCAAAGGGTTTTCAAGGGATGGTGGTGTTATATGGATGCTTTTAAAGCAATTTAGCACCACTTGTGCTCCAATGTGCATTATTCTGTCCTTAACATTAAGATGAATGAGAAAGCCCATACATACAAGGAGATTACTGTCTCTTTACCAAAAGCCTCACACATGCATTAAACTATTGGATTGTGGCTACTAATCTTTGGTTGTTTCTCAAGAGGGAAATATTAGCCATGAGAGTGAGTGCAAGCAGGTTCCTATGTGTCTCCTGATTGTCAACCCAATTTTGAATACAACAATTCTACCCTCCCACAATCCAAAAATGATCGGCAAAGTTCAAAAACAACAAATCAAAATTTGACCTAGAGAAAGAGGGTGAACTGCTGTCTCAGAAGGGCCCAGGGTTGGGGTTTTGTTTTTGGGGGTGAATTTGAGATAAAGTCAAAAAATTATAGAAGTGAAACAGATTTTATTTTGATTACTCAAGGAGTATGAGAGGCTTATATCCCCTTGGATCCTGGGAATCTTGCTCAATAGAGCAACAGACAGATGTCACTGCAAATGCTCCATCACATGGCCAGCCACTCTTTCAATAGAGATTCAAAGAAACACAAAGATAGCCTGTTTTCTGTATGTTTGCCAAAATACATTATTTTTTTTAAAAAAAAATGGTTAGCCAATCAGCTGAGTTATCGTTATTATGTATCTCTATTGCTAGAGATACATAATAAGAGGAATAGCAATGGTATCTGCTAATAGCCACCATGATCCCCAAATGATGAAATAATGCATTATGACATCACGAGGCATATGACTGCCCTTTCATATCCCAAGATTAAATACAAATACAAAAGTTATAGGTTTTGCCTGGTGATATTATGACAACATTTAAACATTTGCCCTCCTCAAGAGCCAAGGTGGCGCAGTGGTTAAAAGCAGCACTGCAGGCTACTGCTAGATCAGCAGGTCAGCGGTTCAAATCTCACCGGCTCAGGGTTGACTCAGCCTTCCATCCTTCCGAGGTGGGTAAAATGAGGACCCAGATTGTTGGGGGCAATATGCTGACTCTCTGTAAACCGCTTAGAGAGGCCTGAAAGGCCTATGAAGCGGTATATAAGTCTACTGCTATTGCTATTACTGCTATTGCTCATGCCAATGGGTACCAGATAGCTTCAGAAAATTCTCATCCCCTTTGGCAAGGCCCATTTTCTTTCCTGAAAATCTGAAAGAGTTGGATAATACTATCCTCTTCTCAAAATGTAAAAGACAGAAAAAAACAAAACAAAACCCAACCAACCAACCAAAACAAGCAAACAAACAAACAAACTTCCAAGCAGAAAATAATTTTTTTAAAACGGAAGTTAGATTAGAAGTAGCACATGCTGAAACAGTGATATTGTCTATTCAGTGTCACATTTTCTGCAATAGGGATGATGAAGGAGGTGCTGGTTCTCCTGTGTATTGGATAGCATTTGACGAAACATATCAAATTAAATTAGCACATTGTGTAGATGATGAGTAGGTTACAAAAAGGATTTTAGGAGTATAACCTTGCTGTTTTATGCCACATTTGCATGCTGGCATTTTTAAATTCTTCCCTCTTCAATTGTCCTTCACCCTATACAATAACTAAACATTTTTTAAAGAAATGAAAAATAATTTTAAAAGTCACCCATGACATAACATCAGAGCAGCTGTGGAATAAACCACTACCACCGCCAAAAAAACCCATGCGTATTTCTATACACTCCCATGTAATCCTGCCATGCACCTATTGCAGATCATAGCTTCACTCTTTAAGAAGATGCTCCTAACTGACTCTGTGGGTTCATTTTTAGCAGTGAAACCAACGTCTAATATCACTGTCAATATGTAGGTGGTAAAGAGATGTGGAGCTACTCATCAGGAAGCCATTTTTTTCCTCCCAGGAAAAGAATCCACATATGTTTCTAAAACCAAGCATATACATTACTCTTAATGGAACATAATGCCTGTGTTTGTTTGCACCAAGTCCTTGGCATCATCTAATAAACTGTGTTATAAAAATTGTGTTATACAAATATACAGGCTACTAGTGCAGCTGGATTAGTACTAGTGACCTTGACAGGCAATGGCACTTCATAGTCTCCTAAACAGTACTGATTAAGGCCACATGATTCAACCACTTCAAGGTCCCATCAGTGCTAAGATGGAAGACTCAAGTCACACGAGTCCAATCATAGACTTAAATGTGCTACATAGTTTTATATCACAGCTACAGTGAGTTCACACTTGGCCAATAAAGAATTCTATTCTGTTCTCTATTCTATCTTCAGTAAATTAAACATGCTTAATTTTTAACAGAAGTTTTCAGAACCCCACAAATTGGCTTCTATGAAATCAGTAGAGCCCTTTAGAACGATAGGAATTACTGAATAAATGCACAGGAGGAAGCAGTTCAAGAGTGTGTTTGATCTAAGACATCATATTAGGAAACTCTGTAATCTCAGATAAGTTTATGCTTTATATCTATACAAAGGTTTGAACGAATTGTGTATTTAAATATTCTTGGTTTTGCAGAGCTGGTTTGTGTCAAATTAACCTTCAGTTTCATGAAGAAAAAATAAACCAAGAGTGTGATCCACCAAAATCTTAATTTGTATTAATAGGAGTTGCTTGGGAGTGGTCAGTGGGGGAATTCTTGGCTATGCCCAAATTATACGAGTTAAATCAACCTGAATGTAGAAAAAAAGCTAAGCAAACAATAGCTGTTTTAAAATTAATCAAATTGTCACTAAAAGTCCTAAAGATGGGCCCCCAAATCAGATTCATGATTTATATTTTACCTGCAAGAAAAAAAAAGAAAGCCTACTCTACTGGAGATGGAAAGCAAAAGAAGTAATGATAAATGGTTGTATAATGTAGCCAAAACTGTAGTGCCAAATCTCATTGTCTTTTTATCCCTGTCTTTATCTCTTTCTTCATACTACATCTGTAAATCCATTTCTCATCTAAAAATGTAAAAAAAAATCATTGGAAAAAAAAAAGTAAACAATTTCCAGAACAGCTACTGGATAATTTATAATTTTGTGGTTGTTGTATGTCAGTAGATAGAAGAGACTGAAGTATTTTTGGTGTAGTTCTTGACATTTTCTGACAGGACAAATAAAATTAGATGTGTCTGAGAGTCTCAACTATTGTGGTACCATTGTTTCTTTCCATTTTTTTCTCTAAGAATTTACATGGATATGATGAACGTGTTAGGAATGATAAAATATGGATTGTGCATGTTTATTTCACCCTCACAAAACTGAATAGACTATTACATTTTTAACACACATACATCTTTTAGAGAAATATATAGGTGACTGGCTTACCTCAGATGAACTTTACTTCAGATCAACTAAATTCATAGGTTGATCTGCCTCATAGTGATCCCAACTGTCAGTTTCAGGACTCAACTGGCATCTGCCAGTCAAGTATCTTAAACATTACATAATTGCAATGAGTTAGACTTCAAAATGGATGAGTCCTTCACAGTTCAAATCTTTGGCTTCTGACAACCTTGCTTAGATATCAGCCACGCACCTGTACATGCAACCACACTATATGCTTGGAATGTACACTTTTCTTTTGTGAACATTTTGCAGCTCTCACTTATTTTAAGATCCAAGCTGAACTTATTCTGCAGAAATTCATACCTTTCTGGGAGGAGGGAAGTGCTGAAAAATAGTTCTTGAAAATTGCTCAAACCCTAAGAAAAAAATGATGATTTAATCAACATCATACTAGAAACAGATTATAATCAGAGTCTTCTCAATATCAGCCAAGGTAAGTGATATATCACTCACTCACTCACACACACACACACACTGAAACCTTTTCCATGCTGCTTAATAACATTTTGTCTATCTAAAAATACTTTTAATAAAAAAACGAATCAGATAAAAAGAGACTTGTGCATAAGAATGCATCACACAGTTGCAGAAATTAGGGAAGACAAAGATAATGATTAAATGAGAAAATATAGGTGCCAATACATTTTACTACCAATTAGGGGGTTAATGAGCATGCATATGCAGCGGAACACATCTACATCTACACATTGTCTTTATTCACTGCCTTGTAGGATGAGCTTTACTTATAAGAACTTTGCCACTGCATGAATGTACCAAACCATAATAATTGCACACCAAGATATGTAATTAAAGTTCTAGTTTATATGGAAGCTTTTATATTTCTGCAATCTCTCTGCTACAGAAAATTACATTGTAAATGCGGACATCACAGTGTCACTTGGAGAGGGAAGATGCTACTCTCCATGTGTTGAATCTACTTCATGCAAGCCATCCTTTGACAGAACAAGGGATGTTTTAAACATGAAATAAAACCAGTTCATGGAAACTAAGGCTATTAGGCAAAGTTAGTCATAGTGGCTATTGCATCCTTTCAATGCTCATTGTTGCAGTAAACATGATTGGGAAGTATCAATTTTGAGACCAGCTCTTGGGTTTTCACCAAGTATGTATTTACCAATGGAACAAAATGCAGACAAGGTGGAAACAAGGCACTGTCATTTTCTCAGGTCTTCATATAAAGAGGGAAAGCTTTACCAGTGCCAGGATTCATTCTGACTTTACTTAACACTATCTCCTTTTTCCAATGCCCAACATTATGTTTGTTTAAAAAACATTAGCAATGTTTTTAAGTGAGTTAATAGCAGAATTCACTGTTTTACTAAAATCGGTGCAAAATTAGTCTTAAGAAATACAGATAGTTGATATTCCAATGCAGATCTATTCTTCATTATGAAATTTAAATTTGAAAATAAGGGATACGTTTCAATCTGATCCCACATTAGTTTCTTTTATAAATTGAGCATCAATTGGGAATGCAGATAAATCAAGGCTATAGATTAAAAATAATTTTGCCCACCAATGAGTTTTGTAAACACAGCAAAGATACCTTTGAAATTATTCTGTGTGATATTCATGTAACAGAATTGTTGATTAATCAATGTTTGCACAAGCTGCCTAAGCAAATTTTTCTCCCATTGGGCAAAAACTTTGGGGACATGAGATTTCATCACTAGCAGCAGGCAAAAAATGACCAAGATAAAAACACAAATCTTTATAACATAACTGTGTGAATGCCCAAATTAAACATGGATGTTCAAGAGGAGACTTAACAGTCCAATTTTTTTATATGTGCCTGACTTAGGTTTACTGTAAAGTGGCCATTCACTTCATTAGAAGCTAAATAAGGAGGCATTTGGAGGTATATTCAGTTGCAAGTCTCACTGAGTTATGTGGAACTATTTAATGTGGCTGAAATTTTCAAATCCTTTATCTTTTTTTTTGCATGTGTGTAGGTCTCAGAAATCCATCACAGCAGGTGGTGTCCAAAATGTCTGTCTGCCTTACACAGAGTTTATTTGGCCTTTTTATTTGGCCTATATTTCCCAATAGACCTGTGGGCAATCAAGCCCAAAAGCTTTCCCACCAGGATCCCGCTAGGATCCTAAAGTATCAATTTTCAAATCAGAGGCCAAATTGTGTAAAATATTGAATTGGTGCTGGATAGTTTTTAATTCATCTGAAAGATTGAAATAGCAATAGCAATAACAGTTAGACTTATATACCGCTTCATAGGGCTTTCAGCCCTCTCTAAGCGGTTTACAGAGTCAGCATATTGCCCCCTGACAATCCGGGTCCTCATTTTACCCACCTCGGAAGGATGGAAGGCTGAGTCAACCTTGAGGCTGTGAGATTTGAACAGCCGAACTGCAGTCAGCTGAAGTAGCCTGCAGTGCTGCATTTAACCACTGCGCCACCTCGGTTCTCATCAATTACTAAAATAGCTAAAAAAAGCAGTATTAATTGTTTTTTCCAAATTACACACAACAGCATTAATATTAAAATAAGCGCAAGCAACAAGCGCTGGCACACCC